TGCCCTAAGTTGGACTGTCACTGGGTGGGACCTTGTGAAGTATTGGAGAAACGGGGGGAGGTGGTGTACAGGGTCAAGCTGCCGCCTAGGGGGCAGCGAGTGGCTCTCCGAAGGGACAGGTTGGCCCCATACCGAGGCAATGCCCGGCCGCATCAGTGCTCTGGAGCCTCCCGGAGAAATGTGTCGACCACACACCCAGATGCGCGAACTGTTCATCCTGGCAGTTCGCCACCCCTGAACCCACTCCCTGCACACCAGCAGGATGTTCCAAGACCGCAGGCGCAGTGGTTTGTGCTCACCCCAAATCAGCCTCGGAGGCAGACATGGGCCCCGGTTCACCTCAGGGACTTTTTATGTGACACTTTGTGAGGGGGGTGGGGCAGTGTAGTGATCCTTCACTTGGCATGTTATGATGTTCTAAATTGTTATGGTTCCTTGATGGGTGTGGAGCTTCAGGGGTTAAGAGGCGTGAGAGCGGGAGGGAGAGAAGTGTGAGGGGAATTGGAGCTACGGAGGGTGTTAGCAGGTTGTTTCTTTTTCTTATTGTTGTTGGGCTGTTGTTTTGGCGTGGTTACGGCCAACAGTAACCGGTTGTGTGGAGTTAATAAAAAAGCGACTATTCGTCGGCACGCAAGGTTGTCTTCCTTGTGTCCTGCGGGACGTTTCAGTATGTAGTATTCAGTGGTACTGTGCTTAGGTACAATTTTAAGCCACATTCACTTTTTTGAGTAGGCTAATTATATTTTATGCTACTTTATACTTACAGTACACCCCGGCATTTTGAAGGTGAATACTGTACTTTTCATTCCTCTACATGTATGTAAGGCCTTTAGTTAGCTGACTAGTTATATGGCAGACTGACAAATTATGATAAACTGTTATAGTTATAGATTAAGCTACCAGCAGTCTGTAAAGTAGTTAGCCTTCCCTGGTAGGCTAGTGGTTAAGGCGCAGCGGGCCTGGGTTCGAATCAGGGTTGTGTCAGGAAGGGCATCCGGCGTAAAACACGTGCCAAATGTCAACATGCGAGTCATCAGTGTGACGATTCGCTGGAAAAGCCGAAAGTGACTTTGTAGTCTGTAAAGTAGTTAGAATTACCTCTACCTTTACAAGCTGCAACACTGCAGTGCTAATACACTGATGCATCCATGGTTATAATCAGGTGATTCTGAAATGGGTCACTTTGCATAAAAAGTACTTCTACTTGATAATTATTAGCTTAGCATAGTAGCCCACATTTGATGCCAGTAGGCATCATTGTGATTACAGCACTTTAAAAAAAAATTTATTTTTAAATTTCTACAATTTGGATTTTTACTATACTTTCAAATTGAGTAGTCACTGCCAGTATTTCAGAGAAAAGGCTTCAGTACACCTTGGCAGTGATTCTACAAGTCTCTGGAACCTCTGGAATAACATTGTGCAGCAGAATCGACTTCTCTGAAGGCACAGATGATGCAGCCAGGTGAGTCATGTGAATAGGCCCTGCAGGTTGTGATGGCCATAAGAGGCCCTATGAAGCTTTGAACCCTATTGGACCATTGTATCGAAAATTGGTTTACTACTCGAGGCATCATTCATTGAGCACGTGGGTGACCCTTTCACAGGGCATAGAAGATGCCGGTGTCACCAGGAACTGTTTGGCCAGGTTGAACAGGTATGGATACAGGGATTTGTGCCTCGTCCAGTAACCTAGGGGGGTCCTGTGATCTGTCCAGAGGAGGAGCAGACAGATATCACTGAACCTCCACAATGGCACAGGTCAATGCCTGAAAATAAAACATTACAGGACATTTATAAAGCATTTAATTAAATACAAGTAAATATATAAATACAAATGTGATTAATAGTGTACCCATAGAAGCCACAGCAGGTTCTGGCTGTGCCGGTGTTGATGATGTAGATGGCACTGCGTTAAGGGGTGCAATTCGGATTAAAGCAGCACACTCTGACTTCAAACGGCACACAGCTGTCCAATGTATGAATAACAGACTTGAAAATAAGGCTTGAATCTTGGAAATATAATTTACCTTATTCGGTGGCAACAATCCAAAATGTCCCCACACATGTGAATGTTTCCTTGATGGCGCCATAGGGAGGCAATCAAAAATGTGTTGACAAGAAGTAAAGCACAGATTAAAAATAGATTATTCGTAAAAAGAGGTTTAACAGTTTCTGTCTTCCTTTTTGTCTCGACTGTTTGCTAACTCAGGTCAAACACTAAGATGGTTGCTGTTTATATTAGCAAGCTCGTGTTTCTGGACTTCAGTTTGCCAGTTTGTCATACACCGTCTTTGCCCTTTCTCCATAGTTTCCATCTGACTTAAAGTTTTCCTGGTACTGTAGCTTCGGATCTTCAGCACCTCTTTTGAAAGGATTTGAGCTACTTCACTTCGCTAGGATACTAGAAGTAAAGGCTGCTTGTGATGATATATACAATATGTCTTAGTTTTGTTCAGTGGATGTTAGTATACTTGGCAATGTCGCCAAATGCTGAGCTCCTGTTTACACTGCTGTACTCCTTGCATTTCATAAATATAGTTTCCAACCATGGCGCATGAGTGAGCAATTGAAGCAATGTGCTATAGACTACTACTTCTGATTTTAACAGTAGGTAATATAAACATATTGCTTAGAAAAGCTTAAAGCTGTGTACCAATAGTTCATCTGTTGTGTATCAGTAGCTCATACAAGTTTGTAAGTAGAGACCGGCCTGCTCCAAGCTATAGAGTTTGATCTGGCATTTTGGTTTGTAACACCACAAAAAGGCAAAGTTGTAATTGAAACTGCTGTGCTTTATTTAAGTGAGCTAGTAAAGCACCTGCATGGATGTGCATGGCTTTAATTATCTGCTTTATAGTTTCCATGCCTTAGGCTGCCTCTTCACATAAGTGGATTGCTGCATGTGGATTTACATATTGTTTTCCTCTGCTGTGGCTGCTACCTGGCCTCAGCTCTGTGCTTCAAGTAGTTTCAGAAATGTTGTCTTTACTGTGCTGTTATTGGTGTATGCTTGCTTGTATAGATGAGTTTAGGTCTTGGATGTCAAATACCATCTCTGTGCATCATAAAACTGTTCATCTTGAGTAGCTGATTGACTAATAACTGCTGTGACAATGCAGCCTTTGTGGTATGTGGTCTGATGAAGTACTGCTGTACCATCTAGCTTGCTCTGCTACAGCCCCCCTGCTGCACAAGCTTCTCTGTAACACTGCTGCTGCTATTCTTGCTCATATTGTATTCATAAGTCTAGCTTTCAGTATCCACACTTGGCCTCAGAGTCACGCGAGTTTCTCACCTACAGTAGTTTCTCACCATCACTCCCCAGTCTAATGTTGGTGTATGCTTGCAGGGAGTGGTGAGATCACAAGTATGTGAATACCTGTTGTGTTCACGTTGGTTCCACATGAGTTTGACTGTAGTAGAATCATAGAAATGACCATCGGTGGCATTTTGAATTAAATGAAAGCTATACAAAAGTACAACAAACAGATTTATGTGGCAATGATACTGATTGCATCTCATCTTTGACCCTAAAAAAAATCATTCATTCTCAGGATGTGCAGTTTGTGTGTGTGCTATGTCTTTTCAAACAGCCAGCCTATTGAAATCTATTGTGCACCCTGATAATCGAGACAAGCTTTGTGGCGGGAGATGATCCCATTTTGCTGTTGCTGGATGAATAAGCGCAGATGTCAACCTTTTCACTGTGACTCTCACCTCATCCACTCATTAGTAATGAAAACAGTTGCCTTTTGTTTCATGTTGAATATTCCTTCATAGGAACAAAGACACACTTCACATGCATCCTATGAAGCTGATCCTGGCAGATAAAGCTAGGCCAGCGCTGTCTGCTCTGACCTTGCTGGCCTGACTCTCACAGTGTCTGACTGGCCGACTGCCACTCAGTGCCCAGTAATAAGCCAGAGCGTGAATAGAGGCATCGCCTTGATAATGGGAAGTTTGTGTGGGCCGATCTTACCTGCTTTCCAGGTGGCGGTACATAAGTACACGTTGCTGTGACACTTGGCCTCAAACTTTCCTTTACTTCTCCTCTCTCTTTGCCAGGAGACACTAAAGAGCCTTCTTCCTGTCAAGTGTCTGCCGGGTGAGAAACTTGTGAACTGAAGGGGCAGACATGTATTATCAGGACTCTGACCTGCCCCAGCCCCTCTTCACTCTCTCTGCCTCTTTCTTCCTACCAGGATGGAGTGACAGCTTGTCACTGTGGCTGCTCCCCCCCGACCCCCGACTATTGTGGAGCTCAGAAAAAGCATCAAGGTCTTTCTCTCTCTTTCGTTCACTCTTTTCTCTCTCTTTTCAAAGCAGAGAATCAATCAGCTGTACACACACATACATACACATGACTCACCTCTTCTCCCTTCCCTCTGTCTATTCAGCAGCCAGTGATCATTTAGACTTGACATGTATTGTGAAAAACTGAGCTGCTCTGCCTCTTTCTTCTTCTCTTTCTTTCACTCCCTTTCTCTTTCAACTGTCTGTCATTAATGTCCAGGTCTTACAATATATGAACAGAGGAGTAGAAGAAAGCAAAGAGTGAGGGATGAATTGATGGATGGGAGGATAAGCACTCAGTGTCCTTTCTTTAAAGATTTGTTATTGTACAGTACTGTCTCCCAGTCATTTTTGGTTGGTGTTTCAGTCTGAAAGCCTGTCCACGTGCTCTTTTGTATGGGAAAGCAATAAGGCCCCATTGAATGAAGCTGAATGGACCTGCCATCCTTAGGGGCTGAGGCCTGAGGACTCCTATTCTTTAGCCCCCAATCTAATTGGAGCTGAAATGAAATGGAGGTTTCTTATGAAAATAGGCTTTGTTTGGCCGCAAGGCTGGTAATTCATAAACAATAAGCAGAGCCCCATTGTGTAGATAATAATATATTCATGCCGCTGGAGATGAGGAGAAGGCAAAGCGAAGGCTGAGGATATATAAGGAGGATAGGCAGAGACAGGGATGGAGAGTGGAGGGATAAGAGGAAGGGGAGGAGGAAGACGAGGGGCTAATAGCAAATAGTGGGTCAGAGAAAATTGGTAATGGTTGGGTAGAGGCAGAGGACTTATTAGAGGAAGTGAAAGGACTAAAAGTGGGTAGGAGTGAAAAGTGAGTGGGAGTGAGGGAGGTGAAAATGGCAGAGGTAGAAGAGATAGACAAGATAAGAATGAGGCAAGAAGGGCGGGAGATTGGGAAATGGTTTTGAGTACCTCGAAACCCACCGGTGACTGGCTTGGCAGCAGCGGAGGGAGAAAGCAAGTGAGTGAGAGTATCATAAAAATGAATAGGTTGCACAGTGCAAATCTGTGTGGAGTTGGAGGTGGTAGAGCTGATAGAGTGGATTGGTCAAGTGCAGTGATAAAGCTGAGCAAAAGCAGCCAATCTAACAGGCGAGGGGAGAAGAGAGAGGAGACCAGTGAGTCTGAGGTGGTGTGAATCTGACAGAAGGGCTTTCACCGCCTGGAGACGTGATGGGGGGGTGCGGGGGGTGCTGAAAAACAGGTGAGCTTTCTTGCCACTTTGATTCATCAGTCTGTCTAGATTATCTCTGACTGTTATCTGTAATTGTACAGGTCAGAGCTGCTTCTATGTGATGATCTTCATCTGAGCCTTCACATGCTTAAACAGTTTCTCTGTTTGACATTCTCAAACAGCAAGACCAAAAAAAGTCCTGGACATAAGTGCTCTATGGAGTGACAGACTGACTGGCGGGACCCTGCTTCCTGTATCTGCTCTGAGCAGCTGTTTTGGGTCATGTTAAAGGCTTCTTGCCATCTCACTGGGGAGTGATTCCCACCAGCTGTTGGACTGGAGACACACGTTCCTTTGGATGCTTTGGGAAAACACTTTCTCTATGTTGCAACCTTGACTCCCAGTGCTGATTCTTTTTCTATTTTTATGACTGGCAAGAAGTTTGCAACAGCGGAGGCAGTGAATGTTGAGGACATGAATGCAAAACCAAAAATGTGAACTCTGATTTGTTTTTACTGTGTAAGAGCTAGAGCTCTTAACTGATGGTGAGTAAACCTGAAGTAGCACTTTTTGGGTGGACTGAGTTCGTTCGTGTGTCTTGAGTGCATGAGTTGCTTGTAGGAAATCTGGATTTGCACACATTATGGAGGAAAACACAAAATTCAAGTGTGAGAAGTAATCCATAGCTTTGTTGTGGTCCAGTTTCTTTCTTATGACATAAAAAAAAAAATCAAAGTTAATCAGTTGCTGCTGAGTACAAGCTTCTTAGCTAAGGAGTCACTGAGGTATGTGAAATGTCAAACAGAGCAAGACTGACTAGAAATGGGAGACTTTTTATGATAATAGCAAACATTTCCTTATAGTTGCCTTTGCATTTACCTATATGTGCTAATATAATATTTAAGCTGTGCACAGCTTTATGTGTGTGCTTGTGCTTCAATGTGAATGTATCACCAAATAAAGAAAAACTATGTTCAGCAGAGAATAACTTGTTATATAATTAGATGTCAGAGGAGAGTTAACATATCACTCTGTCTCATGTTTTGTATGGGAAGATAAAACTTATGTATTTATGTCAGAAAAACCAGGATTTCGTGTTTAAGTAATAAACTTCATAGAAAAGATATTTATGCTCCTCCTTGTTAATTATAGTTTCCTGGGCGTACTGGCCAAGAGGTGGTGGTATTTACAAACGTGCTCCCTGGACACCTGACATTGTAAGTTTGTGGTCCGAGCCACTAGATGTCACTAGTTACCAACTTATGAAGTAGAATCAGCACCTCTTTTACAACATTGGAGCAATTTTACCCTGTGCCTGCTGATCTTCTCTGTTTTCTTGAAACAATGTGAAGGTATAAACATCAAAATAGGATGCATCAGAAAGTTTGTGCTAATGCTCTGTTGTTAATGCTTTGCGCTGCTTTGCAGGCAGATTGGTCTAAAGTCTCTGAAGGAAAAACAGGGAAATTGCCTTTATGTTTTGAATAGAATAGATTAAACTGTAAAATTGAATATTTAATTGCATTGTAAAGGTTATGTATTTATTTTTAATTATATGATTACTCCTACCACGAGATGGCAATCACACATAATGAAAACGCTCTCACGTGTGTGTGTGTGTGTGTGTGTGTTGGGGGCATGGATGAGGCTGAGCCCACTCTCAACAAGCATGCTTGTGCATATCACAAGATGTCTTTACATTCGTGTGATTTAGTCGGTTTCTTTCATGTGTGTGTCGTTTCATTAACCTGCAGGATCTGTGCAAGCAGTGCTGGGTGTTTCCCTGCTGGAAGTCCTTGTTTGTTTTGTTTATTTGCATGCAGCAAAGTGGTTGCTGGCGGTGCTGGTCACTACAAGTGGCTGGCATTTGGAGCCTGGTAATCAGGCTGCGGGCAAACTGGGTGGCAACGCTCCTAATGGTTTACTGGAGATTATCCATGAATTATCCCCCAGAATTCCAGTCAGGCATTGTCCATTGATGGAAATGGGAAGAGGGAGAGTGTTGGATGAAGAAGTGTGTGTATCTGCATGTTGTCTGGGAGATTTGGATGGAGCAGTGTTGGTGTCTGTGTCATGGAGTGTGCATTTCCATGTGTGTGTACTCTGTAATGATTCTGGCAGTGTTGGTACATTGGGGTAATGGAGCATGTTAATCCACATCAAACGGCTATTAGCGGCAGATTTTACTCATAAAAGTCACTAGTTACAGGAAGAGGAAGGACACAAATTAACATAGCCTACGTCTAGCAACCTTTCTTTCTCTCTTGCAGCCAGCTACTGTTTGTTGTCCAAGAGACATTTTTTTATTGCACCAAAAAGAAACATAGTTGTGATCAAATCTAATTCAGGAGATGTTTTGCATTCAGTCCTCTAACTGAACTATCATAAAATCCCTAAAATCTGCAACACACTGCTGTATAAATGTTGTGTATGTCAACATTGTCGTGAGAGGTTTTTATTGTCAGAGCTACAGGTATTCAGGCTATTTGTGGCATTGTATTGCATTGGTTTCTGTGTGGCTGCTGTCACTGCACACTGTGCTGTCATTAAAGTCTGGGTAGATAGGAGGGACTAGTTGCCTGTTCGGCTGCTGGAGCCCCAGGAAGATGAATAGTGCTGGCGAACCTCTCTGTGATAAGTGTTCAGTAAACGGGTCAGTAGATTGTCCTCCGAGGCTCAATCTGAGCTATTTTCCCTGACTGAGAACACAAATTATCCTCCATATTCATTATCCTCCATATTCATCCCATAAACAGGCCACCAGTGGTGCAGACTCTACATATTTGGTTATGGCTGTGTTTGCGTGCTCAGTTGCCCTGTTTTCTTGTTCCTTGGCAGAACACAGGGCTGGTTGTACACAGGGCCGGTTGTACATGGGAGGAGGCATGCACGCTTGTCACCCACTCAACAGTGAAGTCCAAATGCAGTCTTGGGGAACAGATAAAAGCACAAGTACTAAAGATGAGAAAACAATTAGATGTAGAGCTGGTGCAAGTGGAGGATCACAGTGAAACATATTCACAAGGAAGATGAAAATGGCGAGGGGCAGAGGGGAAAAGAGAGGCAGAGACTGAGGTGGTGAAAGGTTAAGTACTCTTTTTTTTTTTGTTTTGGGGGGGGGGTCACTAGTCTTCCTGCAGGGCCTTGTTCCTTGACCTGCTGGTTAGAAGAGAGAGGTAAAAAAAAAAAATAATAATAAAACTGGGAGAGAGAAGGGAGAAAAGACTAAAGCTGCATGTGAGGTTCGCAAGGTGAGAGGTGGAAGAGCTAAAATGGGAGGAGTATTTGCCTCTGGCTGATGGGGAACAATTGGACACACAAGGACACACACTTGAACCAGAAACAAAAATGGACCTACACGCGCGCGCTCACACAAACATGCACACAGTTAGAAGTACAGTCCCAGCAGGCATATGAACTTCAGTGCAGTTGTTGCTATGGCGATACACTGAGCTGCTGACCCCCTGACTCCATTTTTCCTGCCGCTTTGCTATTGAAAGAGATGATTGACAAGTGTCCAAATGTCAGCCGACCCAGCCGGCCACACAGAAGGGGGGGCAGCCATTTTATGCTACTTTCACTCACAGGGAGGAAGGGGTGTGTGTGTCTGTGTGTATAGATGGATGTATATGTGCGTTCAGTATCTGGTAAGGCTGAGCAAATGCTTATATAGCAATATGCTAAGAATATACTGAACAAACAAATCACCAGAGATCCACACACTTACTGTATCTCACATGTAAATCCATATATCCTGACCTACACAAAGAAAGCTTCTAAATAAAGCTGCTTTTCTATATGAGACAGGTTTGTATATTTGTCTTTTGAGCTGGACTGATAAGCCATTCAGTGAAAGGCAGGATTGGTTGGTGGTGGCTATTGAGTTTTTAGTGCTCTGCTGTGCTGTGTGCATGAACATGCACCGAATCTGCGTGAATTCACTTATTCATACATCAAATATGATAAAGAGTGTTTTACACGTGGCGCTCTTTTTCACCTCTGTGCATATTTTTTCCCTGCATGTCTTTTTTTTTTTTAAAACTCTCTCCCTTTCTCACTGTCTCATTGTCTGCAGCCTTGAGGGGATCAGTCTTATCTTGATCACCCACAGCAACACATTAACCTCTTCTCTCTTATCTCTACACTGGTCATTAGTGCCAAAACCCTTAACATCCTATTGACAAGGGGCACAGAACTCTGCGTGTGTGTGTATGCGCTGAGTTATTGTAGGTGGCATGTGGGTGAGATCTGCTGAGTTGGTGATCTGAAACGATAACATTATTAGCCTGTGGTGTGTATGTGTTTATGTGCGAACTATAGCAAAAAGCAGCGTGAGAGGGAAGATGCTGCAATGTCTCTTCACAATGATTGATATTATGAGCTATCATCTAAAAATGAACAGTTGATAAAACATATTTATGCACTTTTATTTTGATCTGTTAATGATCTGTACATTTTAACAGATCTAATGAATAAGTCTTTTAATTTAGTTTTAATATATATTTACTGAATACAGTGTAATTTGTGCTAAATGTCGTGAGTGTATATTTTAAAAAGAGGTTTGAATTACTTTCCTCCCACATGACATCTTTTCAGCAAAATGTAACAATTGAAAAGCTAGTCATCGGATTTCGCTATGAGGCCATTTAGGAAGTATTGAGGGAGAATAAAATGTACTTCCTGACTCTAATGCAGCAGTATTGGTGTTGAATGGGTTACTCCATTTGCTGCTGATGGAGCATTGCACTTCAGCTCAGTCAAACAGCTGTCAACAGCAAGTGTATCGCAAATTAAATCAAGTCAATGTTATCATGTCTTGACACAGCAATCAAATCACTTGTAGCAGTAATTTTAGCACCTGCTTTAAACACTCCTTGTATAACAGGGTTTTTTTTGTTTTTGTGGAAATGCAGAAAAAAGTAACAACAAAATATACATTCCCATAAATCCATTGATCCGTTGTGTCTCATTTTAATCTATTCAGGGTCTTAGGTACTACAATTATTGTAATTTAAGATGCATGGAAAAAA